TAATCATCTGACCAATCCAAAGGGAAATCCTATCCTTTTGGGCTGTGCAAAGCACAAGTAATTCCACAGTTTCTGAGGACTGCTAGGATGGAACAGAAGAGAATCACTTATATCATAGCACCTGGACAAAATTCTTCCCTGTTCCATAACAGCACCAGAATCCAACTGGAGAAAATACCAGGGATTACGACCAGGGATTAATCTGCTACACTAATTTGCTAAGAGCAAAGTAATTTTTTTAATAGTTCTCTTCATCATTATCTAAAAAGGGCTCTGGTTTAGTTCTGCAAATGCTGACCTTTTCCTGCAAGCAGTGACAGAGAAGTCTCATGATAAAAGCCCACAGTAAAATCCAGAAATGCCTACAAGCAGAAAACTGTGGCTGGATGGAGCGATCTTGGAGGCATGCAAGCAAGGATGGAGGAGAAAGGTACAAACTTTCATAATTGCTTGCTAGTTATTAATTCCTGGAGGATCATTCCTGTCCTGGGAAGTTGAATATGACATGCAAGTATACAGCACAGTTTGGTTTTTATTCTCCTGTTCGCCTTTCTCCTTGATAAAAATAATCTGGATTAGATTATACTGCTTGATTCTCATGTAAAACAATACTCGGTCATTTCCAACTCAACCGCACAGTTGCTTTTAATGCAAACAAACATACAGTTCAGGAAAAAAAAAATATCTCATTTTCCCTGTAGCTTCTTTATTTTTTCACTTACCAACTTCTGAGAACAACTGTCTCTCTCAGATGACAGCAGCCTCTAAAGATGAGCTGAGAATACAAAATAGGAAGTAGGAACAGCAGTCTCAAAAAACACAGCTTAAAGCAGTGTCTCTTGGAGGAGGAGGCCCAGCACCTCACAAGCTGGGCAGACAAGAGCCATCCAGATCTGATGCTTGGCTTCAGGTGAGCAAAGCTCAGGAGATTGAGGTCACCAGGAATGACAGAATCATCCTGGTTAGAAAGGACCCTGAAGATCATCAAGTCCAGCCATAACCTAAATCCACCAGCCATAACCTAATCTACCCATGTGGTGCTTAAATCACGTCCCTCAGCACTATATCTACATTTCTTTGAAACACTTCCAGGGATGGTGACTCCACAACCTCCCTGAGCAGCCTGTCCAACCACTCTTTGGGTAAAGAAATTCTTTCTAATATCCAGTCTAAACTTCCCCTGGTGCAACTTCAGTCCATTTCCTCTCGTTCTGTCATTATTTACCTGAGAGAAGAGCCCAACTCCTACCTCCCTACAACCGCCTTTCAGGTAGCTGTAGAGAGCAATGAGGTCTCCCCTCAGCCTCCTCTTCTTCAAACTAAACAATTGCAGTTCCAGCAGGGGAAATGGCTGCACTCATCACCCCTTTACTCTTGCCACAGCCAGGACAAGGGCGACTTTGAAAGCTCCATGTGTACAAAAAACAAAAGCGAGCCTGTGCACGTTTTGGCATGTTGAGATAACCACAAAAGCTGCCCCAGTGGCCTTCTCCACAGCCTCCATATCCTGGTAAGATTGAGCCCTAAAGCTTTCCTTAAATTTTTTTTTTTCCTTTCAGCTTGCTACAGACAAATCTGACAGTTAACTAAGTGACCCTGTCGACCAGACAGAAGGACTAGAAAGACATTGCCACAAAACCAACAGCAATGATACATTTGAAGAAATGTCCTAGTTCAGGCTCTCTCAGAAAAATCAAATAACTGTCACTGCCAGTGTAAACAGATTCCTGTGCACAGCAAAGGCAAGGGGGAGCCAGATGTTCCTAGAAATTAATAACTGCAAGTAAAACTTACACATTTATTTCCCAGTCTTCATCACATTTTGTTTACTCAGATATTCATCTTCCAGCAAACACCCTGAAAGACATTAGAGCCACCTTACAAACTCCCTAAAAAAGCAGACCACAAAATTTCCCAGGTTGTTAGCCAAGCTGCAATACTTCACAGAATCACAGAGGTTGGAAGGGACCTCGAAGATCATCGAGTCCAATGCCCGTGCAAGAGCACGATCCCATAGAGTAGGTAACATAGAACATGTCCAGGCAGGTGTGGAACGTCTCCAGAGAAGGAGACTCCACAACCTCTCTGGGCAGCCCATTCCAGTGCTCTGTAACGCTCAGAGTGAAAAAGGTTTTCCTCATGTTTACATGGAACCTACTATGCTCCACCTTACGCTCATTGCACCTTGTTCTACCATTAGACATCACTGAAAAGAGCCTGGCTCCATCCTCCTGATACTTGCCCTTTACATATTTGTAAACATTAATGAGGTCATTACTCACCAAAGGTTTTATTTAAAAATCAGAGGCTTTATGTAAAAGTTGCCAGCAAATACAAACTCATCTCTGACTCACATATTCATGCCTGAATCCCTATCACTTAAAAATATAGGCTTTGGTTTCCATGCACAGTCAAAACCACCACTGGCCCTTCCGAATTCCCACAGTCCAACTTCTGTCCCCCACAAGTACAAAGACTGACCAAATCTTCTCACTGGATGAAGCAGACGGACTTCCCATCACCACACAGCAGCTTTTTTTCACCTTTCCTCCCACTCTCACACATGGTCTCTGAACTCTGCCCAGCTTTCCACCTGCCTTCACACTAGACAGGCACCAAACCTGGGCACTGATACCTGTGAGAGCTGAGCTGACACATCCTCTCCTCCTTCTTCACAGCCAGGTATCCAAGACCACCTCCTCCTGCCCCTCTCCAGCCCTGTTCTATGTTCACAAACCCAGGAAAACCTACTGCTTCCTGGGACAGGCCTCACTCCTTCTTCCCTTGTTTCCCTGCTGGTGTAACAGACTATGTGCTCCAGAGCAGTTTGCCTTCCCTGGTAATAAAGGTGCACGGCCTCACCAAAAGCACAGTGCCTGACTAACTAGATCACTGTATCAGAACCTCATCTCTTATTTTCTGCTCAGCACTGCAGGTTCCTCATGTGCTCCATCAGCTTTCAGCTGCAAACTTTCTTCAGGTCATTCACAAAATGTGTAGCTGGATCTTTATGAGATTGTTGACCTGTAACCCCCTGGGAGCCCCTTATTTCACATGGGTTACTTTGAGCTTATCCCCCCTTCGCTTAATTCATACAGAAAAGGCAAAAGCATTGTATCAAATGCCTTAAGGAAACCTATGTTTACAACACAGTTATCTGAGATTTTTTTTAAATAAATGCTAAAGGCCAAAACTTCAGCCAGTAGGAGCTTCAAACCGCTACAGAAACCTCCGGCGGCTGCTGCCCAAGGCGAGGAGGCACCTCCTCCAAAACAGAGCACCGAGCCACCTTCCCCAGGCGGGATGCAGGCAGGAGGGGTCCCTGGCAGAACATCCAGCCCCCGTCGCC